CCTTAATAAGCCTCCATTATCTGCCACACCTACTTAATTAAATATTGGGACGAATAAGTTTATAGACACTTCCCCGAAAACAACTTACAGATTCACTGACAAGACTTCACTGACCTGAAACAATTCAGAATCAGAATCAGAATCAGAAGAGCTTTATTACCAAGTATGTTTACACACTCAAGGAATTTGACTTGACGACAGGAGCTTCCAGTGTAGAAGAAAGTACAAACGTAGTGCAGACATACATGATAGTGCAGACATACATAGGAATAACACAGTAGGGATGTAATATAACACTAATATAATAAAAAAAAGAAAAATTGAATAATGTACTATATACAGAAATAGAAGTATAGGAAAACAATTAATTGTTTAGATAAATGTACAGATATGTTTATTAGTGTGCAGGGAGGGAGGGGGGTTGCAGGGGTGGTAGGTGAAGGTGTGAAGTGCAGATCAGAGCGGATGGGGGGTGGTAGACGATCCTTTTCAAATCTGCAGTAAAACACATTCAGATCGTCAGCCAGTTGTTGATCCTCCGCAAGCTGTGGGGGTGGTGTCTTGTATATGGTGATGTTCCTCAGACCAGTCCATACTGACGCTGGATCGTTTGCTGAAAGCTCTTTTCTCAGCTTTTCTGAGTAGTTTTTTTTAGCCACTCTGATCTCATTTGTTAGTCTGTTCCTGGCCTGGTTATACAAGATTTTATCCCCACTTCTGTAAGCATCCTCTTTGGCGTGACGAAGCTGTTTGAGTTTCCCAGTAAACCACGGTTTATCATTATTAAATGATAAGAATGTCCTGGTAGGAATGCACATATCTAGAGAAACTGACATATGAAGTTACAGTCTCTGTGAGCTCGTCCAGATCAGTGGCAGCAGCTTCAAAGACGCTCCAATCAGTGAGGTCAAAACAAGCTCGTAAATCCTGCTCTGTTTCATTAGTCCATCTTTTAACAGTCCTTGATACAGGTTTAGCTGATTTCAGTTTCTGCCTGTAGGTCGGTATAAGATGAACCAAACAGTGATCAGAGAGCCCCAAAGCTGCTCGTGGGACAGAGTGATATGCATCCTTTATTGCTGTGTAACAGTGATCCAAAATAGTGCTGTCTCTGGTGGGACACGTAATGTGCTGCTTGTATTTTGGCAGTTCACGGGAGAGATTTGATTAGTTAAAATCTCCAAGAATGATTAAAAGAGAGTCTGGGTACCTTTGCTCCATTTCACATATTTGTTTGCCCAGCTGTTGCATCGCGGCGCTTACGCACGCGTCCGGAGGCACGTACACATTCATGAGAATGAAAGAGACTTATAGAAGAAGAATGACAAAACACAGAACAAACAAACAAAAACATCAGAAGAAGCACGGAGCTCAGCGTCCTGGCTGCCATTTGCGGCGCCATCAGTGTCTACATTCCGTGTTTATGTTCACTTTAAATCAACTGACATAGGTTTGTTGAAAACACAAAGAATATATATCAAAACGTCTTACTGGTATTTACATTTAGTCATTTAGCAGACGCTTTTATCCAAAGCGACTTACAAATGAGGACAATGGAAGCAATCAAAATCAACAAAAGAGCAATGATATGCAAGTGCTATGACAAGTCTCAGTTAGCTTAACGCAGTACACATAGTAAAGTTTTTTAAATCATATAATAAATAAAAAGAAAACAGATAGAATAGAAAAAAAGAATAGAGCAAGCTAGTGTTAGAGGCCTCTTTGGCTTTTGTTAATCAGAAGTCAGAATTACTGTATAATTGTATAATAAATAAAAAGAAAACAAATAGATAGAATGCAAAAAGGTTAGAGAAGCAAGTGTTACTTTTTTTTTAAGAAAACAAGTTTTAAAAGTCTGAGAAAGTGATTTTGTGCCTCTTTGGGATGGCACTATAAAGCGCCGTTCATTTGCAGAACGCAAGCTTCTAGAGGGCACATAACTCTGAAGCCAGTGGTGGTTTTGTAGGCAAACATTAATGCCTTGAATTTTATGCGAGCAGCTATTGGTAGCCAGTGCAAATTGATGAACGGAGGTGTGACATGCATTCTTTTCGGCTCGTTAAAAATCAATCTTGCTGCTGCATTCTGGATTAATTGTAAATGTTTGATAGAAGTGGCTGGAAGACCTGCCAAGCGAGCATTGCAATAGTCCAGCCTGGATAGAACAAGAGCTTGAACAAGGAGTTGTGAAGCATGTTCCAAAAGAAAGGGCCTGATCTTCTTGATGTTGAATAAAGCAAATCTGCAGGACCGGGCAGTTTTAGCAATGTGGTCTGAGAAATTCAGCTTATCATCAGTCACAACTCCAAGGTTTCTAGCTGTTTTTGAAGGCGTTATGGTTGAGTGTTCATTATTTAGCTAAATGAAAAGTATCTTTATTAATCAAATAACGCACAGAGCAGTAAAATAAGGCAAAATTAACAAGGGCCACGTTTATTTATTTATCCATCCATCCATCCATTGCAGGCTTTATTGTCAAGACCAATCATGATGCTCTTAGCCTCATTGCAGTATTTTCCCCTTCTTTCTTTACCAAATAAATTACTCAAATTATAACTCCTCCCAGCTTAGCCAAGCTCCAATAGCTAAGAAAAGGAGCCTTTCACAAATAATTTCAGGGTTTTATGGGGAAGCCTCATTTGCCGAGACACGGCCATGTATAGAGCTAATATGTCTAATATACCCATGCTCAATTAGAGCCAATCAATCTGAGTGACCAAACAGGAGAAGTACAGAGAAACCTGTAGATGAAAAGATGAGAAGAAAGATGAAATTGCCTCCATTTCACACAATTGAATTTCCTTTTCAAAGATATCTTTTCATGCATACCTAGAAAGGATTTGAAGCTGTGAAAATCTATCATGCACGTGGAAGAAGCACTTACCATGTCACGTGTTCAGAGAAAAGGTTTTTTGGTTTTTCTCAGTGATGAGATAGACTGTGACCTGGGACCAAAGAGATGATTGTTAAGCCTCTTATGAAGCTGCAATCTAAGACACACCTGTTCTTGAAATGTATACTGATCTCTACAGGACTTTTACATGTGAATGGATTGTGATGTCAAATTAAACATAATGGCTCACTATCAGCAGGCCTTATAAATAGGGAAGAAAGCCCAAAGAAGGGCTTCATGTCACACTTACATTGATTAATAGATTACTCAGGTGACCTATTGTTGTCCTGATGATGAATGGAACAACTATACTTAAAGGACTTAAAGGTCTCTAAATAACTTTTATGAAGTGTGTAACAAAAGAGAGCGAGAGAGAGAGAGAGAGAGAGAGAGAGAGATCTTGGACATTGTAATATCTTCTTTATTTGTTTTTCAATAATTTGGTAAATTGTGATTAATTGCACATGCTAATGGGTGACCAGTCTGCATGAACATAATTTCAGATATTTTGCAGGGCAGAGAAGGCTTTTCATTTCCAATAAAGACTGCAAATTAACTTAACTATAGGATAGGTTTCCATCAGACTAACAGGCTGTTTCATAGATTTTTCAAATTCTTTGAGCTGAAAAAGATTGCTGGACCAGGAGGATCCCCGGGGTTTACAAATGGGAAATGGCTTTTAATTAAGCAGCTGTCCAAGCATGTAAAAAGGGCAGAAGGGTAATTCATGTATTAAAGGAGAAGAGGGCCTGATTCAATATACCTGACTAGAGAAGTGTGCAAACACAATTCATCTAGCCATCTTAACTCTGCCTCTGCTCTGTTTTAGTGAGTTGTATGTGTGATTTAATTAGTTTAATACATGGAACTAAATAGAATATGTTTACTGAGTCACAGAAACATTTTGTGTTTCTGTTGTAACTACACCATCTGGGTGCAAAAAGCATCTTTCTATCTATCTCTCTATCATATTCTCTCTACATGTATTTTATTATATTAGAGTATGTACTAAAAGTTCTGTATATATAATTTGTATTTAAAAACTTGAATTTCATGTCACAGATTGGGATAATTACTGGTGAAGGGTTTGAGACTCTGTGTTCATGGTGTCATTTTTACTGTCACTCTAGAGAGATTTGTCACATACAGCTAAAGTGATTGGCTCAAAAACATCTACGTATAATTAGGAAAGAATGCCCATGATCAAAAATTGAAATTGTGTACTTTCAGAGGGTCAGACACCAGCTAAGCCATTGTCATTGCTAACAGGAATGCCAACTGATAGCTTACAGACCTCAGCCTGCTGAGAGAACTAATCCGAATATTTTCTTTAGTGCATGCAGTTGCATTGGCCTTGATTTAAGGTCAAGTAATATTACTGCAGAGAAGAACACCATGGATATAAATGAGAGCTTAGTGGTTGTGTAAACTTACAGAAATCATTCCTTTTGTAGTCATACTATGAGTCTATTCAGCACAACATTCAAAACAGACTGATGAACTAAATAGTTTCTAAGAGCTTGTAGGCAATCTTTCACTAGATGATACAGATATTTACCTTTTGAGCTCCACAACTCTGAAGCCGGAAAATAAGGAAAATGGAATAAAATCCAAGACACAACAGGAAAATTCCTACCAGACCATCAAATCTACTATCATTTTAACAATTCCACAAGAAAATATATGAGGCATAATTACTGGTTTTGATGTTGTTTTATTTGCACAATGAAATGGCATTACAAAAATTAAATAAAATCATCTTAACTTACAAAATACAAAAAATAAATTCATAAGTCTGAAACACATTTATCAAGCAGCAATGGTTCTCAAGCTGAATAATTGAAGTACCAACCTGCTAAGAGAACATATTCACAGTTGCCAAATATTGTGCGTGTGCACTAAATCACAATACACTGTTCCATTAATTTTCTGTCATTTAAAGCTTTTAAATATTGGCACTTTGACTTTTTGATGTCTTATTCAGCAGGCAAAATGAATGAAAATTGTATATATAAATAAACACCAAAACAGCATGGCAATGAATCCTTGAGTCATAAACATTAGCATTTTTTCATGGTCAGCACAGCCATAGTATCACATTTCTCTGGGAATCAAATAACTGTGTGCAGAATAATCACACAAGCTACGCAGTGTAATAAGATCTTCTACATTCTCAGCATCCTCCAGTGATGGTTGCTTAGTTTTGCCTTGCAAGTCAACATCTCACAATCAGTACCTTGACATCAAACAGAAAAAAAGCTTATACACACAGAGAGGTCAGTCCATACCAGCAGCAGCAGATCTCCTTGAAGGTCTTCCTCATCTCTTGGCTCCTGAAGGCATAGATGAGAGGGTCTATGACCGAGTTGCACATAATAAGGATCAGGTACATGTTGAAGTGGGACATGAAGCAGATGCAATAAGGGTTCCGTGGGCAGGAAATCATAAGAATGAGGTGCAAGAAAAAGGGAGCCCAGCACACCACGAATACACCCAGCAGGATAGTGATGGTGATGGCCCCTTTCATATTTGCCACCTGCCAGATAGGGCCATTGCCAGGGAGGGCGGCAATGCGCTTCATGTGCAGTCGGGCCAGAAGAAACATGTGGACGTAGAGCGAGGCCATAAGCGCCAACATGGTGAAGAACATGCTGATAAGGCAGATTAGAACGGTGGGGCTCTCCGAGTACACGATAAAGAGCACGCCAGAGACCGTGCAGAAGGTCCAGATGCAGGTGATGATGGTGCCCGCCCGCCGTTGGGTCATGATGTTGTGGTAGCGCAAGGCGTAGAAGATCGTGATGTAGCGGTCCACCGCGATGGCCAACAAACTCCAAATGGAGGCCAACAGTGAGCTACAAATCATTGAGTCAAAAATGTTGTCCATGTTCTTGATGATGCTCTCGCGATTGGTCAGGTTGCCCCCCGTGATGAGCGCCATCACAACCGTTTCGGAGGCATTGGAGACACTGACCAACAAGTCTGCTACGGCTAAACTGCAGATAAAGAAATACATGGGAGAATGAAGGTTCTTGTTCTTGACAATAGCCGCAATCACCAGAATGTTCTCCAGGAGACTGACAAGCCCGAGCGTGAGGAAGACCTCTGTGGAGATGAGCAGCTGCTCATAGCATCCAGAGGCTGATCCTCTCTCGCCCTGAGCAGGCTTTCCCACCGATAATGCTCCCTGGCTGTGATTCCGGTATGAATGCTGCAGTCCATGATGATGTGAGGTGTTCATTTCCCTGAATATCCGTAGTCAGTGGTTTGATCTGTGTCTACTTCAGTCTGGTGAATTCAAATTGAACATCATCCGTCATGTAGATCAAAGAAAGCAGGTACTGTGTGAGCATCCGTCACCTCACCTCTGTGATAACTCTTCCTCCAAATCAGCAAAAACATCCGACAATTGTCTGCAAGAGCCTCTTACACAAAACAAACAAAAATAAATATATAAATGTAAAAAATAGAGACAGAAACTTGCAGACAGAGAATCAGAGGATAGGAGACGGCGTCAATTGACCGAATCTGAAAACGCTGACTCTTGTTTCAACACTGTTGAAGTGCAAACAGCATTCAGAGTGAGGCACTCAGTTTCCAGAGCTTCCAGCACTTGGCAGGCAGACGAGTGAGAGACTCCTGTCTCTACAGCCACTGTCTGGCACGCTGAGCCCAGGCTCCTCCCCCAGCTTTCTCCACCAATCAGAGGCAGTTTCGATGGGTGAATGTAAGCTAATATCAGAAGGAGGTCAGTGTATGAATGGGGTTGCCTCTGTTTTCAACAAATAGATAAAATCCTTTATTGGAGGTGTTTTCTTAAAGCATTTTGGTGGTATGTTTATAAAATCAAGTAATTCAAGGAACAAGCACTGATTGTATCTTGCGAGTGTGATTATATTTAAATATATATAAATGATTCAGTGATTCACTGTGACAATCACTTGTTTAATTTCTGAATGAATTGGCTATATTAATGATCCAATGATTCTTTCAAAGAGAGTCACTTTTTTAATTTCTGAATAAATCTGAAGATATTCCATAAATTGAATGAATCTGTTAAATAAATGATTCAGTGATTCCCTCATAAAGATGGTCAATTGTTTAGTTTCTAACATAATCTGTTTTGAAAGATTTGGTTATATGAATGATTTAATGATTCAGATCGTTTTGATTGTCAATGAACTAGTGTTGTTGAACACTAGAAGTGATACATATAGTGAGAGGTCGCAGTGCTGTTGGACTGAATATATGCTGCTCAGCCAATCAAATGCGAGGACCAGAACTAATTGTTGATTATTATAAGTTATTGCCTGTTGTTTTATTTAAAGATTCGGATTAGCATCTAACAAATCACCTCATTCGCATTTTACGAATGCTTAATGAGGCTCATGAATCAGAGCTGACTCCTCTCTCTTTAGCCTATTGATTATACAGTTTTATGTCCAAACGTAGAAAATCAATTACAGTCAAAAGAGCCTGAAGAAAGGGACTGACCCCTTCTGTGATCACCACATGGGAATAGACACTATGAATACTACACAAACAACAGCTAATCCAGTTTAGTGAAGAGGTGAGACAAACGGGTTTTCGTTGAGCAAAAAAAAAAAAGAAACTGGAAAAGAAGAAATTGAATGAGATTTGTCAAGCTGATATGTTAAGCAAAGCTATTTTTTTCTGAGAGAACTGATTATGACATTGCCGTAACATAAACAATATTAAATAATCTGACTAATGCTTAATAATGATCCTAAAGTGTATAATATAATGCACACTTTCAATCCCCTGAAACTGAGCATATTGAAATCTCAATTTATAAGATTGCCTCATCTATCTCAAAGGGAGACATAGCCTCCAAGCAAAATCTACACACAATCCACATAATGCCATATTCATTTCACATTCAGATAAATTGTTGATGCTAAATAAATAAATAAAAGAAGATAAAAAAGGAAAGGAAATGATTAAAAACACCAACATTTAGAGGCAAAATTTAAATAGCAAAGTTGCAATAATGGGCTTTCAAGAAAAAAAAAAAAAGCACAACTGTTATATAACATACAAGCCCACCCACTTTGTTTCTTGTGAAACCCCTAAGCAAGTAGGCTGAATGTTGGATATGTTCTTATCAGAGCAGCCCTACACTCTTTATAGCTTCATAAGTCAGAGGTTTTCCTACAGGTGCATGTCACTAAATTCTAGAATTCTCCACATTGTAAACTAGAAGGTTGAAACTTTAGAATGTTCATCTCACACTAGCACTGTGTTTATGCTCTAAAGTGTCATGACCATGCCACTCCTCACTGACCCCCAGTGTAAGAAATGCATAAAAATATGAAAAATATTATGGGTTTCTTTAGGCCTATATCCACACAGAGATCCACATCATATCCTATATCATCGTCTCGTCTTGATACATTAAATGGCCATGTTTTCAAGTGTAGTTCTGCAAGCCTTGAGATTTTTAACATCCATAGTTCTATCTATATACAGCATGCCCTGTCCTTGAGCTAAACGCCACATAGAATGTTTTATTTAAAAGAAGAAAAACAAAGTGCACAGAAAGAGCTGCAATAGAAGAATGTTCTAAAGTAATACATTGTACTTGTGAATGTAAGAAATATTTCACATTAATTTATAAAATCATCAATAATAGAGCATAATTCAACACACATAAACATGTCAGCACAAATTGATTTTTCTGGCGGCATTGACACTGCTACTAAAAAATGTATTTGGATTTTTAAATAATAATTGTAATAAAAAATGTAAGTAGTATATTATTTCTTCAAGTCAAAACAGGTTTTGTGTTATAAAAAAGAAGACCCTTTAACTGGATTGTCAGTTAAAAGAAGAAACATGAACAATTAAATATATAGGCCTATTCTCAAATGTTCTTTCTTTCTAGCAATGCAACATGAAATAAAGACTATTTGGTTGAGTAATATGCTTTTATTCAACTTCAAGTACAATACTCTCCGTTAGCTCGTTGGGTGGTACAGAATAATAGGGTCAACCTTGGGGGGATGTTGATGTTCTGGTGCCACTCATTTCTTTCTAGTAGGTAAATTGCAGAGGACAAAAAAATTCCACATTTCAACGGCCACTGTTTTATGTCATGAAGACATGCCACTTTAAGGGCAAAGGTCATTTCAATCTGTCATCCAAACTTGTGACCACATTTTGACGGCTATGAGTCATCTGGAGATAACATGCTGCTCAGTGTCTATCTGAAATGAAAACAAAAATGTCTGGATGTCAGATTAAAAGACAAAGACAAATGAGCTGTTATTAAAAAGATCTAACTGAGGCTATAAGTGGGTTTTCTGTTAACATTCACTCATATTCTCTGCAATATTTGCGCAAACTATTACAAATGACTCTCAACCTAACCTAACATATAACATAAAATAACATAGCATAGCATAACATAACATAAAATAACATAAAACATAACATAACACCTGACATAACATAACACATTTTAAAATTGATCATTGATAGGTAATTAATTATTCCATTTTACCAGTAATATGGTAAGTAAGTAACTATTTTATAGTTGAAGGGAGAGCAAAAGCAAAAATCATCCTCACAATATTGATGCTAAAGTTAGGAAGCAGTTAGGCGAAGGGATATAAAGATTTGTTCTTTATGTTTGTCACATGAAAAATGAACGAAATAATCCAGAGGTTAACTAATTATTTGTGTTTCTCATAATTTATCTTTGGCTGCATAGTAATGATTTCCTAATGATCAAAGACTGTGTATGAGAATGTTTAGAGGGAATTTGGTTATTGAAATTATAAAGTTTTAGAATTCAAATAAACAAAATTATTTTAATAAAGATTAGTTCATTTTACTTGATGAGGTTAAACAAGAGAGTCTGTGTGAGCCACACTATCTGGGCACTAGATGATACTGACAATGAACTTACCGTAATTAATAAGTAAATAAGAACCTAATAAGATTAACAAATTATTAAATGTAGCGTATAGCTGACAAAGTTATAAGTCTGTAAGGGATAGTGTCATGCATTACTGCAAAATAAACTCTGACAGGGTGATATGCCAAATATAAAATAAATATTAGAGAAATCTACCAAAGTTCAGGTCTTGGTGCATTTACTGTGATAAATGGTAAGTGATAAATGTGCTGTGCTGGGCTGTGCTGGGCTACAATGGCCTAGATAATTTAGTCATCTGCTTGACTTCCCACTGATGGAGATGTAAATTAATTTGTGTCTGAACAATAAACAGCAATGCTTTGCTGCATACCAAATAGACATTTGTCACACTGATATTATGAAAGCAATTGGATTAATTGGAGTATTCTCTTACATGAGATACTTCATAATAAGTTAATTTAGTTCCTCAGATATGTTTATCTCAGGCAGTGTTCGAATTGTGTCAAAGCTCTTGGGGGGTCCCATGGTTATTTTCTGGGATTTTATCGATAACGATCGATAATCAGACAATATTTTGCTGAGTGTGTTGCGCTTCAGGACTGCCATGGACAGCTGACTCTGTGAGGTGGACAGAAATTAATCTTTTCAAACAAGTTTAAAATGAATTTTACACTCTATGGGCATTTTTACCTTTGTAAAGCCTTTTTTTTCTAGAAGTGGGCCTTACATTTAATCAATAAAGTCAATTACAATAATAAGACATTTGGGGCTGTTACCAAACAAATAAAATCATTATCAACAAAATTCATATTTTACATTTTCTGCCCCATATCTTGAATTTTGGGAGCACTCTAAATGCATTTTATTATACTGAATCATGTAGTGAAAGAACACACTCTAAATGAGCATTAAGTCTAGCTAGTGTTTAAGCACTCATAACTCCTCTTATAATCAATGAAGCTGTCCATACACGGTATGATAAATTAATCTTACATCGTAGGTACATCGGCACTTTGTTTCTTATGATGAGGGAATTTGCGAGTTTCATTCTGAACAAAACTCTGGGGTTTCAGGGATAACTAGTCTGAACGCTTCTGATTGGCTACTGCAACAAGCTCAACAGAATCGTGTGCAATTGGTTATAATGAGCAACGCTGTAAAACGCGTAAAAATTAAATATGACATAACATTGGAGGGCCTTAATGCTTATGGGAGGTCCCCCCCCCCCCTCAATTCGAACACTGATCTCAGGAGGTACAGAAGAATGTAAGACCTATAAGAAATTTAATATCACAACTGCACACTAAATAGAGCTGCTTTTAAGGGATCAAAGGCACATGTGAGTGATTTTACAGAACATACTGTAGAGTGCATATGCCTGTAGCCTAATACCACACAATAATAGACTTAATGCACTCACCTGCTCTCACTAATGTAAGCCTACAGACCTGCTTTTCATGAAATGAAATGTGAATTTATGGTTTTGGTACATGCAGAATCATGTTGTTTTA